TGTTCATAAGCTATATGTTGAATTTCATGGACAAAGTCATTCTATCCAGCGCCGCTGTCTTTGGACTAAGAGAGGATACTGTATGTCCACCATTCGATCTCAGACCTACAACACTGACATTGTTGCAGCATCTCAAAGGCCAGCAATACAGCTGGGTTGGCAGCGTCTTTTACCTAGGTTATCTCCTATGGACATATCCAACCATTGTTCTCGTTACACGTCTGCCAACTGGGAAATATCTCACAGTAAACACACTGTTTTGGGGCTTGGTCGTTGCACTCACTGCGGCGTGCCATAACTTCGGCGGCCTTTTGGTCACACGATTTCTCCTGGGCGTCGCAGAGGCTACGATAACGCCCGGTTTCATGTTTCTGACTTCAACTTGGTATACGCGCGATGAGATGCCGACTCGTGTTGGAATCTGGTTTTCTGGGAACTCTGTTGGAGGCTTGGTAGCCAGTCTGCTTGCATTTGCAGTTGGTCACGTCGATGGAGCATCGATACGACCTTGGAGGTGGATGTACATCATCTTGGGCACCACGACTTTTATGTGGGCAATTCCTTTGTCTTTCCTTCTTCCAGACAACATCTCTAAAGCTCCTTTCCTCGCGCCAAAGGAGAGAAGGATCGCGGCACAGCGTGTAGAATCTTCCGGTACTGGTACGACTGAACATACGAATTGGAAATGGGATCAGGTCCGTGAGTGCTTGATTGACCCCAAATCTTGGTTCATCGTGGGTATCGAGCTATTCACGCAGATTCCGAACGGCGGATCACAAAGCTTTGCGAATATCGTGGTCGAGTCTTTCGGATTCACGAATTTGCAATCCACACTTATCAACATACCTTACTCACTTCTATCAGCAGGTATCATATCAGGAAGCGGATACCTGGCTGGCCGATTCCGCACGTTGAACTGCATTTTGATCGTCTTTGTTATCATGCCATGTGTTACTGGCAGTGCAATCATTTACAAGCGAGACAATGTGCCTCACAGCATCCATCTTTTCGCCTACTTCCTCCTCTCGAGCGGATCTGCAGCAATGCCTCTCAACATGGCACTTGTACAATCGAATTATCGAGGCATTACCAAGAAGATGACCATAACGGCCATGCTGTTCATCACATATTGTGTTGGAAACATGGCAGGTCCGCATTTCTTCCTGAAGTCTGAGGATCCATTGTATGAGACCGCATTCAAGGCTATCGCTGTCTGTTACAGCTTGGCTACAGTATGTGCTGTATGTTTAAGAACCTATCTCAAAGGGATGAATGAAAAAAGAACAGGAGAAGAGGGCATCGTTGGAAGTGCTGGCTCAGGGGGTGTTGTACGAGGGGATGTTCAGGGGCATGGAGATTTCTCGGACCCTGAATCAGATGTGACGGATTGGCAGGTTGTCGGTTTCAGATACAGACTTTGATCAATCCTATTTTATTCACTCCGATACTGCTAAATTCACGCATGGGTGGTTTTCTGGCCGTCATTGCAGGGCGCTTTGGCCTGGGACTGTCGATAACCTTGTCTGAATAACTCAATAAAAAGGTCAAGGCATCCAACCTACCGGGATTGAAGCTTTATTTTACAGTTCATAGTAGCAAAATATATATGATATTCAAGAAAACCGCAAAGCTTACGCGGTTGTTATACCTTTCCCTGAAAAACTTTAATTGTTCACTGTTATATAAGACCTCTTCATTCCGTTTGGCCACAGTGCTAGTCTCGCCTTCAACTGATTTAGGTAAGTCACGTGGGCCCCCGGCTGAGTGTTTCACCGACCCGTCAAATCGCCCCATATCGTTTGAAAGCACCAAGGCACCCACTCTGAACTTTCGACATCCACAACGAAAGTCCAGCTCTTTTTCTGGACCATCAATACCTTTTTCCCAGCGCATCAGAAGTTTGATCGCGTATCGCTCGAAAATGTCGTGGAGAAGCCAAGGAATCACCGGTTCCAACAACATCCCTCTCGGGAAGCGTCGCTTTGGAGATGAGGAGGAGGAGTTTAATGGCAACGCTGGAGTCGATCGCGACTTGAAGCGTGGACGCGATCCCGAGCCTCGCGGCGACGCTGACGGACCTCGACGACGAAAGAAGCGAAACCGATGGGGTGATGCATCCGAGAACAAAGCGGCTGGCCTCATGGGCTTGCCCACTGCTATCTTGTCCAACATGACAAGTGAACAGCTTGAGGCCTACACACTGCATTTGCGTATCGAGGAAATCTCCCAGAAGCTTCGCATCGACGATGTCGTCCCAGCTGACGGCGATCGGTAAGTTTTTCTTCGTCGATATATCGATGCAATGCTAACTCATGACAGATCTCCTTCTCCCGCTCCTCAGTACGATAACCACGGTCGACGTATTAATACACGAGAGTACCGATACCGAAAGAAGCTCGAAGATGAGCGCCACAAGCTCATCGAGAAGGCCATGAAGACCATTCCTAACTACCACCCGCCACAGGATTACCGTAGACCTACTAAGACTCAGGAGAAGGTCTATGTTCCTGTTAACGATTATCCGGAAATTAACTTCAGTATGATTGCTAACCCTTTAACCCTACTTACCAAAATTATCCCCTGTTTTTGTTTTCCTTTTGGAGTTTGATCAGACTCACCATCACACCCGGTGGTGTTTGAGGCCTGGTCCTTCATCGAATGGACTAACCCTTACACGTTCATCTAATCGTTGCGAATCAGACACTAACACTAGCTCTCTCGTACTAAAGTTGGTTTACTTATCGGACCTCGAGGTAACACTCTGAAGAAAATGGAGGGAGACTCAGGTGCCAAGATCGCCATTCGCGGCAAGGGCTCCGTAAAGGAGGGTAAGGGTCGGTCTGATGCCGCGCACGCAAGCAACCAGGAAGAAGATCTGCACTGTCTCATCATGGCCGATACCGAAGAGAAGGTCAACAAGGCCAAGAAGCTCATCCACAACGTCATTGAGACTGTAAGTCCACTCTCAAGCCCCATAAGATCTATACTAACACAGTCCAGGCTGCGTCTATTCCTGAAGGCCAGAACGAACTCAAGCGTAACCAGCTCCGAGAACTCGCCGCCCTCAACGGTACCCTCCGAGACGACGAGAACCAGGCTTGCCAGAACTGTGGCAAGATCGGTCATCGCAAGTACGACTGCCCTGAGAAGCAAAACTTCACTGCGAGCATTATCTGTCGCGTTTGTGGCAACGCTGGTCATATGGCTCGCGATTGTCCCGACCGACAGCGTGGTGCTAGCTGGCGCAACAACGATGCTGGTGCTCGCCCTGCTGGTCGTATCGGTGGCGGGGATGATGTTGACCGTGAATACGAGGTAAGAAATCTGCTGTTTCTCCTACTTATGCAATACTAACGCACATTAGCAACTCATGCAAGAGCTTGGTGGAGGGTCTTCTGGAGCTCCTGCGCGTATTGAGGCCGGCCCTGGCGCTCAGAACAACGGAGACGCGAAGCCTTGGCAGCGAGGCCCTACTGGTGGACCTGCACCATGGCGCAGCCGCAACCAGGATTCTAACGAAGGTGGATCGGCAGCTCCCTGGGCTAGAGATCGCGGTGGTCGTAACGACGATCATCAAGGCGGTAACGCTGGCGACAGCTACTACGGACAGGCTTACGCAGGTGCTTCAGGTGCTGCCGCTCCTTGGGCGCAACAGGCTCCTGGAACTCAGGGTGGGTATGCTGGTTATCCTGGCTATGGTGCCTACGGTGCTGCTCCCGGAATGGGAGCTCCTCCTGGTCTTGGAGCTCCTGGCAGTGCGCCTCCTCCTCCTCCTGGTGCTCCCCCAGGCCTGGGAGACATTAACGCCTTTATTCAGCAATATGCCGGCGCTGCACCTCCTCCTCCGCCGCCTTCTGGAGACGCCCCGCCACCACCTCCCAGTGATCAGCCTCCGCCTCCCCCGCCTCCGGGTGCTTAAATGAGCAGACTAACGAGGCTGGTTGGTTCTGGGGGCTTTCTGACACAGCTTTAAACCTCAACTATAGTTTAAGAATCGTTATATAACCGGACACCGACCACGGAGGATAAGCGATCGTTTCTAACGTGGCAGCGAACTAACCACTGACTGCAATATGAGACTGCGTTTTATTGCTTTATATGAACGAGCTTTGATGTTCAGCTTGTGTTTTGCGAGAGAATTCACTAAAAGCAAGGAACTAATCGCGTAGGCAATTTGTACTTGATAATTGAGTCGTTTTAGTTATGATCTGTGTCTCCTATCGCTGTGATCTTTCTGAAGAATGTCTCCAACTGTGAAATGCCCTGTCTAGGAGAGGAAAGCAAACTCGAGACCTTGATCCTACCTAAAGGACACAAAGACTTAGGTAACTTAGGAAAAGTTGAGGATACCTATTGCTGGGCTTATCTTAATACCCTATAAGGTCGTATGTGTTCTTGCTCCCCGAGGCCTGTTTATGCACGTAAACTCATTTAATGCAGCTCATACATGCGTAGACCCCGCATTGCAGTGGTTCTGGCGTCATTGTACGTATCTTTCTACCTCCCAGAACAGGGAGCTTGGGCCATGTGACAAGGGAATGGAAGCTACGCAATCAGCAACAGTTGCCTCATCTTGGCTCATCAAGTTCTACAAACTTCATCTCGTTTTGGTACTCGACGATATTTTCAGTTTTTGGTGCACTCGAGTGAGGTGACTACGACGCACTAAGGAAGTCGCGCTCTTGAGGCGTCTTGTGCAGTGCCTTCTTGTTTCGTTTTCATGACGAGGGTCATCTGATCTAACTAGATCCCTCTTCCGTCTCGTACTCACTCTCCCTCAACTGCCTTGTCTCATCTTCCATCTTCTTGGCTCTTCTCTTCGTGATTCCCAGCCTCTGCACTACTACGCGCTGATTCGAGACCTGACCATGATCCTACAACTTTAATCGTCATATACTTTTCACCTACTTTAGAATTCTTTTCCACCTCGCGACGCACTAACGTGGGCGCGTCACCTAGGATTACCTCAGCTCCAATTCAAACCAAATCATCATCTCATCATGAGGGCTAAGAATCCCCTTGCCTTCCGGCCAGGGCCTGTGTCCTTCTGGACGACTTTTATATACCTCGCTCTGTTTATTCCTCTCATTTGGGTTCACGAAACTGTTCCTTCAGCTCCGGCTGACCGGTCGCTGTATCAGGGTCTCAATTTGACGGAGGCATGGCTCGATCTACAAACCATTACTCGCGCCTATCATCCCTACAACAGTCACGAAAATGACCGAGTACGCGAGTTCCTCATTAACCGCACCAAGGAGATTCTCGATCGCAATGATATGTCGTATACCACGGAAACGATTGGTGGTGTAGTTTGGCACTCAAGGTGAGTCTCCGTCGCGCTCTCATACGCACATCGTTAACATGAGTAGAACATCTTCTCTGGAGAACCAAGATTTGCCTGTATCAGCTCAAGATAAGCCTCGTGGAGCAACGCTCTTCGATGACAGAACTTCTAACGTTTCCTGGACTTACAACACTGCTCGGCGCATGGGCTCTAATATCTCCAAAGGAACATGGTTGGGACAGTACTTTGAGGGCAACAATTACTATGTCTACATCCACGGCAAAAACGACCCTGAGGGTGAATGGTGGCGTGATGAATCCAAGTACAAGAAGTTCCGTGGCGAGGGCGGTGTTCTTGTCAACTGTCACTTTGATTCGTAAGTGGTTGACAAAACCTTGCGTTTCTTTGACTGACAATGTTTTAGCGTTTCTACCGGTTATGGTGCCACCGACGATGGTATGTCCTGCGTGTCGATGCTCCAGCTCTTGAGCTACTTTACACTCAAAGGACGTCAACCCAAGAACGGCATCGTTCTGCTCTTCAACAACGCCGAAGAGGATGGGCTTCTCGGTGCCAGAGCCTTCGGCTATACTCCCTTGTTACTATTCATTCACACATTCGTCAACCTTGAAGGCGCTGGAGCTGGAGGCCGTGCGCTGCTTTTCCGTACCACTGACTTGCAGGCTGCCAAGGCCTACACCAAGAGCCCTCATCCGCTGGGATCCGTTGTAGCTGCTAATGCTTTCGAGAGAGGTGTGATCAAGAGCGCAACCGATTACGAGATCTTCGCAGATGCCTATGGACAAAGAGGACTTGACATTGCTTTCTATGAGCCTCGCGCTCGGTACCATACTAACCAAGACGATACACGACACACATCTGTTAACAGCATTTGGCACATGCTCTCAGCTGCTCTCGCGTCGACTGAGCACCTGTCGAAGACGACCGGTACCATCTTCAATGGCGACCGTTCCGATGGCAACTCTGATCTTGCTCAGAATGGCAAACAAGCTGAGGGTGTCTGGTTCGATATCTTTGGTGCTGCGTGGGCCGTGTTCGCGCTTAGAGGACTCTTTGCATGGTCTCTAACACTTCTCGTCGCCACGCCGCTGATCCTCATTGCTTTCACGTACATCCTGGCTCGCAAAGACAAATACTACTTCTTTTCTAGAGACATCAAGATGCATCACGACATTAACGATGACCCAGTTGTGTTGGGCGGGTGGAAGGGGTTCTTCCGCTTTCCATTTGCCCTCGCTTTCGCTGGAGCACTAACTATTGCATCTACTCTTCTGATTGCTAAGTTCAATCCGCTGATTATTTACAGCAGCGGGTACGCTGTGTAAGTGGCTTTTTCTCTCTGTTGATATATCAGAAACTAATGTCTCCCAGGTGGTCTATGACTCTTTCCATCTTTTACTTCTCGTTTTGGCTCATCATGCGTGGAGCCAGTTTTGTTCGCCCCAGTGCACTTCATCGAGGCTTCGTTTTGATGTGGCTCTTTGCTCTTGGCTGGGGCGTACAAGTTGTGTGTGCTGTGGCAGAAGATCGTATGCATATTGGTGCCCTTTATGCAACCGTTTTCTTCCAATCTGCCATTTTCCTCGCCCTGTTCATTTCTCTTTTGGAGCAATTCGCGTTGCTTGGGAAGCACGACTTTGCAATGCAGCTTCACGACGCACATCAGGCGCGTGATATTTCTAGCCGCGATAATGAGAATGAATCGAGACCTCAGACAGAGAGTGAATCTGCTCATGCTGAGGCGGATGATGACGAGGACAGATCTGAGGATGCTACCGAGACTACGCCGCTTAGAGCCGGTGAATCAGGATATGGCTCCAACGCCCCGACCTCGTTTGCCAACACGTACCGCCGTTCCGTTGCTGAAAACTCGCCCTCTCCGCCTAGTATGCGACGATACCAGCCTTTCGAGCATGAACAGAGTTGGTCTGGACGCCTTCCTACGTGGACTTGGATTCTCCAGTTCCTCTTTCTGGCTCCCGTACCCGTGATTCTGTTTGGAAACATTGGCCTGGTTGTTATGTCTGCTACCCAGATGACAGGTACTGACGGAGGTAGCCTCCTTGTTCCTGTCTTGTCATTGGGCATTTTGAGCATTTTCTTGTTGCTCCCACTCACGCCTTTCATCCACCGTGTTACTCACCATATTCCGCTGTTCCTCTTGTGTGTTTTCGCTGGCACCTTCATCTACAACCTGATCGCATTCCCGTTTTCCGATAGTAACCGTTTCAAGTTTTACTTCCAGCAAGTGATCGACTTGGATAACGGTACCAACACGGTGTCTATTGTAGGACTCGAGGAATATGCACGATCTGTCATCAGCACCGTGCCGAGCACTCTGGGCCAAGAGATCAAGTGTCAGCCAGCTGTCGGACGTGATCTTTCTGATTGCCAATACGACGCCTCGTCGTTGACGCCCAGACTGTACAGGAATAAAACTCCTGATGATTTGATCTCAGTCGAGACGATATATGGCAGCGATGGTAGTAAAGCACGACTTCGAATTGATGCTATTGACTCAAGGCTTTGCTATGTTCGCACATCACGACCCATTTATGGATTCGCCGTGGATGGTGCAAGCCCAAGAGATCCTCGTTTTGGAAAGTTCCCTTCAGAGGGTTTCAGCAGCGTCCAGCTCTGGCGCCGCGATCGAGATCGGCCCTGGACATTGAACTTGTATCTGAACGAGGCGAATACCCTTTCTGCTCTGGACTACACGACTCAAAAGGAAGTCGAGTCCCAGGGAGACCACGAATTAAGAGTGCGGTCAGCGGGACAAGCAGCTGATCGTCTTGAAGTCACTGTCAGCTGTGCTTACAGTGATGCCAACACGGCTGGAACAATCCCTGCTCTTGACGAGCTTCTCAAGTACATGCCGACTTGGGCTGCAGTCACCAAGAAGAATGTTGGACTTGTAGAAGTCCGTAAGACTCATAAAGTCTGAGGGAGGATAGACAGTACATGAGCATGACCGGAACCTGCAAGATTTGGCTGAAGCATTCTAGAGTGGCTCCTGAGTACGGGTTCAAGGCATGGTGCTAGCCATGGGTTGGAGTTTGGGACTGGTTTGATGCATTGGTTTGGTTTGGCTTGGCCTGTTGTTTAACGATTGAGTAACCTGAGTGCCGTAACGAATATGACTGTCGAATATGCTCAATGGCCTGAAGGGTGTGTGAGTGAGTTTTGGTATAGTAATGCCATGGTAAACATTATTTGACGCCAGACTTGGGCCAGTGAATTAACCTAGAAGTCATCTCAGGACATAAATATACGAGAAATTAAGACACCAGTCAATGCAACCCTGTAGATAGGTTTTCCGTGTCTTTTAGTTTCGTTATCTAGCTACCGGGTAGCTCGGGTTAGTCGAAGACTCCGCCAATGGATTTCGTCATCCCTTATCTTGAATATCACTACTTCACTTCAGCATTCACCAAACTCAGCAACATATAATGGCACCTCAAATATGGCTGCCCTCAGAACGCTCTGGAAGCGCTCAACAGAAAGCCCTCATCCACTACATCTGTGGTAACCCAGGCCTCATCGAGTACTACACCGACTTCCTCAGTCATGTACGCGGCCTTTTAGACAAGATCGAGACAGACACTGCTTACGATATCTACGGCACAAACTTGCTGGGCTTCAGCGACGATGATCATGAACCGTTCAGCTCAAAAAACAAGCCATGGGATTTGGAGGGACAGATTGAGGGCATGTACGATATCGTTGCGGCCAAAGGAAAAGGGTACGACTTTGTGATTCTCATGGGCCATTCTGTTGGGTCATTCATCACTGTTGAGATCTTCCATCGCCATATGAAGAATCCGGAGCGAGCGCCGCACTTGAAGCTTCGACATGGATTTCTGATATGTCCGACGCTTACGCACCTCGCTCGATCATCCAATGGTGTACAGTTCGAGTTGTTGCGACGATTCATTCCCTTCCTCGACACCGCAGCTTTCCTCCTTGCACGTCTTCTTCTCGGCCTTCTAAGTGTTGCAAGCGTTACATGGATCGTTCAGCGCCTTCTGGGCTTTACACCTGCGAGCGCAGACATCACTGCGCGATGGTTGAAGAGCAGAGATGGCGTGTTGCAGGCGGTTCATCTAGGATTGACGGAGCTGGAGATGATCACCGAGGAGAAGTGGAACGACGATCTATGGGACACGGCAGGAGAGGATAATGGAGTTCCAAAGTTCTTTTTGTTCTATGCCAAGAAAGATCATTGGATTCATGATGACGAGAGAGACGGCATCGTGGAGAAGAGAGGAGACAAAGCGAGGATCGTGCAGGATGAAGGGGATATTCCTCACGCTTTTTGCACGAGAGAGGGTAAGTTGACCATAGAAAAGTTTGTGGCGGTTGCTAACAAGTTTAGATGCGAGCTTAGAGGTTGCAAGGAGAGTCTGCGGTTGGGTCGAAGAGATCGAAGCGGCCAAGAAGTGAAACGAGGTGAAACAAAGCTGGGTCAAGAATACGAGGCCCAGTCCCTTTGTTCAAGGGCCACTTGACAAACAACAATAGACGTGTACAGTGAGCATTGGCCCGTAACTGAACATCACGAAGCTGACTTCCAAAAGACTAGACAAGTTTGCCACGATCTTATGCATAATAGAAATGATTTCCATTGGATCTCGATCGAAACTATATAATCAGCCACATAATGAAATGGTTGGCCTTGTCTATTTACGGCGTGACATCGCTTGCTGCACTCCCCGCATGAGGCCGCGTAAGGTTTTCGGGCGCCGGTTGTGCCAGAAACGGCGACAGACGTCGACCACTTTTTTTACTTGGAGATGACTAGTCATGTTTTGCTAGGTCTACTTCTAGAAGGTGAGTGTTTACTCGGATGATGAGGATTTTGATCACGGTTTTGGTGGTATGATTCTGACTGTCTCAGTTTGTTGATTCATCGCTGTCGATTCACGATCAATTGAGGGCAGAAAAGTGAGACAAGTGTCACTGGTATATTTGCTATATTCTGGTGGTTCAAGACCATTAATTATTAACCCGTGATTCCAATCACAAATCCGAATCCAATTCCCATGTACACATATTCCATTCCTCCTCATCACTTTCCTTTCAGCTCGTAACAATGCCTGTCACCTCACGTGCAAACTAAGTAGTCTTTCACGATGAGGAAATGGCGCTCATAATTGACTCCATTTACAGAGCAAGGGCCATGAGGGCAGCCATGGCCATGGCGCCGAGACCCTTGAGGCCAGCAGCGCTGTTCTCGCCGACACCTGAGGGAGCGGGAGTGCTGGTGGCACTGCCGGCAGCCTCGGACTTGGTGGTGGGAGTCTCGATGACGGGAGGAACAGCGGTGGTCTTGCTCTCAACGACAGGAGGGACAGAGGTGGTCTCGACGGCGGTGGTCTCAACAGCAGTGGTCTCGACGGCGCTGGTGGTGACGACAACCTTGGTGGAGGTCTCGACCTTGGTGGTGTCGGCCTTGGAGGACTCCTCGGCGGAGCCGGAGCCGCTGCCGCCGGAGCAGAGCTTCTCAGTAGCAGGGAGGACCTCGTCTGGGGTGAGTCAGTCAGTATAAGTGTCAACGAAGTATTGAGTATTTGGGACTTACTGATGGCAACGTCGGAACCACACTTGGTGATCACACAACCAGTAGCGGCGCTTCGGACATCGTCGAAGCTCTTGCAGACACAGGTGAGATCGGTGGTCTCACACTTGGTCTTGCTGGTAATAGCGTCGTCAAGGCAAGGAATAGCGCACTTGGGGACGTCGCTGAGGGACTGAGCCGAGACGGCAGTGGCGAGGGCAGCAATAGCGAAAGAGTACTTCATCTTGAAGGTTGTTCTTGGTTGTCTTTAAAGTTGATAAACTTGTTGATATGCGAGAAGACACAACGAGTGTAGAGAGGCAAGGCTGAAGCTGATGCTGAATTGGTCCAATGGAAGCGAGTGGATGAGGAGGGAAAGAAAGAAGGAAGCTTGAGAGATGGATGAGAAGAGGCTTTATGTATGTGAAGGTTGGAAAGGGAATCTCAATCAACAAGTCAGCTCGACTTGGTTAGAGCGTGACGGTGCCGTTGCCCGTTAACCATTACAGGGAAGACCAGCCTCTTTTCCTGCAGACTTGCAAGTCAACTTCTTGTTCTTGATTCTGATCCTCGTCCTTTCTGGAGTCTAGTGTGAGTGGACTGTGGACTCGGGGGGAGGGGGGTCGGGATACGATGCGACGAGCCGGAAGCTGAAGTGGGCGAATGGGAGGTTGAAAGAAGGACAAGGAACTCCTACCAGGGGAGGGGGTTTTCTATTCTTGCTGCGGTAACTGACCAACTCAGGGCGTGTAAGAGCTTTTGTTATGCCGTTGTGAGAGCGGGGCGGGCTTCCGGATTCGATACACACGGCCGAGTAGATCGACGAGGGGTGATGCCAAAGTCCGGGGGCGAGATGCGGAGACGGGTCTAGCGCTAGGACATGTGAAGTTCTCTCTAGACTCCTCTCAGGCTCTGAGAATGAACTTTTCGGAGATTGACCTCGAAAAAGAACTGTCTAGTCCATCAGAAGAGAGAAAAAAGCTGGAGATTTCGATCCACCCCCGGATATTGGACAATGCTCCCCTTTTTTTTTTTTCTCTAATTGAGATTTATTATTACGATCTCCGGGGTAGAACAAAGCTCTAATGCCTGACATTGGAGAAGAGAAAATATGTACTGTACTGTAACAGTTGCAGCGAGTTGACGCCATTAGGAGAATCCTTCAACGGGGACTTTGAACTTGGACTTGGCCAAGTCACATGCTGGACTGCAAGGGTACTGATTCCGAGGGCCGATTGATGGGGGAGCTTGGGAACTAGGCCCGACTTGAGCGGCAAAGCCGAAGAGGAAGAACTAAATAAAAAGAGGGAAAAGAGAGGCAAAGGAAAACAGGTTTGATGATGAGGCAACCAACCATTCAAGGGACGCCAATGATGCAGGAACAAAAGATGCTAATGGGTTGACAGTTGTGACTAGAGTTGAGTTGATGGTAGGCCAGGCCAATTGACCACTATTCCTACTATCTCTAACTCTATAATACTTTAACATGCTATGGTCTATTCCTAGACAACAAATTGACCGCTAGTTAGTTCATTTCCCTTTGAGCACCTCCTCAAAGTCAATGCCTGATTTCTCTTCCTCTCTCTTACTCATCAGAACTCGACCTCCAGTGCACGGTGTCCCAAAACTCCCCCGCATCTCACATTCTACACCCACTAGCACCCCCTGTAGCCGGGAATAAAAGGGGACCCTGTCAGGCTTGCAGGGATCTTGACCAACTGCCTTCCTACACTGGACAAATGCGCTCGAATTAACCGCTCTTTTCGACCGCCACGCCGAGGCTCACATGCGAGGCAACGGAAGTGTCCGAGTCTTCTAGCAGGCTCTACAGCACTGTACAGTAATAATTCAATTTTACGTGGCTTGTTATGGAGGAGTGTTGTCGGAGCTGAGCAAGAATCTGGAGAAGATGTCGTTTAGCGGGATCTTTCTTAGGCGGGAAGGGAATCGAAATGGTCTGATCGCTATAATTGTGGACAATATCCGCCGCTGCCGACTTGGCGAGCATGCATGAAAGACGAACCGTCGCGGTAGCATTTCCTATTAAAAATCATGAGATTCAAGATCTGATTAAACATATGTGAGCTGAGCTGAATAAATCCACATAAACAAATGCAGGTAGCACAAGAGATCTGAATCTTCATTATGCACTTATGCATCGTCACCTATATGCCCACCTCCTGCACCGTGAGACGACGGTGACGACCGACACCACACCCTCAGTGAGCCGTTGTGCGGCGTAGTTTCCAGGGGCAGGCGAGGTTTTGATTTTGCAGCGATTAAAATAGCCGTATGCAACCATCTCAGCTCGGGTTTGCATGCCATGTCGTGTTGGTTGGTAGATCTGCCTTGCTTGGTGAACTTTTCGAGACACGGCGAATCTCCGTTAATAAATGTAAGGAGAAGGCTGAGCTATAACTTAGAGTTTCAGAGGATTATTGTACATATACCGAGGCTGAAGATCAATTGAGGCATATGAAGTTGCCTACTATTGTATATCGCGCTGAAGTTGACTTGTTCCTGAGAGTAAGGGAATCATCGCCAACATGCACGGGGAGTTCCCGTCTTGCTTGATTCGCTAGAGGGTATTTACCACCAATCGCCCTCGAACCCCTGCATCTTGGCGGGTAGGAAAAGGGCTCAGAAACTTGGACAAACGTCATTTGTTGAACTCTTCCAAGCTTCACTGAGGTTCAGTTTCATGGAAAAGATAATCTGACGTCGAATTTTGGAGGAGCCCTGGTGCTCGAGAATATGGGGATGAAACATGCTGTGACGCAAGGTAGGATTGGAGCAACTTGGCTGACGGTGTTGGAGATGATTTACAAGTTTTTGGAGATTTCAATGCAGGAACTCATGATGGGAATTGTTGGCATGCACCCTGAATCTTGGGGGATGAGTTAAGTCAAGTTGAGATCTATCTGCTGTAATCTAGGGTAAACGACAGTTTTGTTCGCTAATGCCACACACCAAGGGATCCAGGTCTTCAACTCTCACTCCCATCGTTCATAATCGGGAAAATACCTCTCATGAATCCTCCCGGCGTATTCCATCAAACTCGAATGCTTCCTCATAATAGCCGCTGAAGTCGGAGCTCTGAAAACACCATTAGTATAACCCCAATCTCGACAACAGAGTAACTTACGCTTCGCAAATCAATGACGAAGCAATGAACCCAAAGATCGTCGCATCAACCTCTGTAGGCTCATCACCACCGAGAGTCCAAAACGGTCCATCGTCCTTCTTCCGCATCCTCGCCTCCGATAGTAAAGCTTCAATGCTCTCCCACACTTCCTCTCTCAATTCGTTAACTTCTTCATCTGTCAAACGGCCCGTTCCTTGCCCATACGCAGTCCTTGCATTTGCGCGAGCTGCCAAATATCCTATAACAACTTGTAGCAGCCATGGCATAGAAGCAAATATGTTGGAGCGCATGGTATAATAATTATCGCACCATTTCTCGCGTGTACCGTAAAAGTAAACCTTTTCTTCCAAAAGAGCTCTGAATGCAAGATCTTGCGCGTTTTGAACGGGCGTCAAGCTTGCATTAAGATCAGGAACGAAGCCCTCGTCGATAAAGCGTTTGATAATGAACGTCGAATCGCTCAAAGTCTCGCCTTCAGCTTCAATGTACGGGATCTTTCCTCGTGGTGCAGTTTTCGGCGATCCTTCGGCTACCCTGTAGGGCACGCCGGCGAAGCGAAGTCGAGCTTCGAGTTTGATGACGAAGGGGGACCACGTAAAAGCGGTTGGCTTTCCAGGACCACGAAAGATGGTGAATTGTGAGACTTTGTTGAATGCCATTGTTGCTATTGAATTGTTTGATGAATTTTCATTCTATTCTATCTGATATATCATGACTTTTTATAATTTGGTATTTTGGACT